GAAACGCCCTGAAGAGGAGGGGAGAACGCGGGAGGGGAGGGAGGGAGAGCGCCGCGGGGAGAGCGAGGGCGAGCGGAGGCTGCAGCCGGCGGAGAGGAGGGCGCGGCGAGGGCCGGGAAGGAGGGCGCGGGCGAGGCGCAGCGAGGCTGGGACCTGAGCGCGCTCACTTCTCCGCGAAGTGCCAACTTCCCCGGAGGGAGTGCCGGGCGCGCACCGTCCGCGCGCGGGGAAAGTCAGCGGGAATTCGAGATTTTAGGGAAGAAAGTCGTATTTCCCCCGTCCCCGTCCCCCGTTACTAAACCCCATTAAAAAGAAAAGCAACCACAGTAACAGCAAACTTGCTATAATCCCGCCTGCCCCCCACTCCTGGCACCATGAAGGCGGCCGTCGATCTCAAACCGACTCTCACCATCATCAAGACGGAAAAAGTCGATCTGGAGCTTTTCCCCTCCCCGGGTGAGTGGTGACTGCTGAGGCCCCCACCCTAGCTCTCTGGCCGGGGGTGGAGGGGGGGGTCCCCTCCACTTCTTCCCCCCTTGGCTGTTCCTTTCTGGGCCGCTCCTTTCTGCAGGAGCGGGGGATGCTGTTGGCAGCGGGATAGAGGTAGAGACAAGGAGGAGGAGGAGGAAGAGGAGGAGGTGGAGGAGGACTGTTGGTGGCCTGAGACTCTTAGTTTGGGGGGTGGTATTTATTTTCACAGCTGTGTTTTGTGAGTAGTGGGAAAAAGCTTATAAAATTTCCAGAGCCTCCATTCTTGCATTTTTATTTTCCAAATGAGCAAGCACTCTCTGGTCTTATTCCTAAGGGAGGAGGATGGACACTGCCTTAGGGGACATCATCCCTTGACCCTGCTTCTCCCAGAATTGGAGCTGGATTGAGGGCCCTGGATAGTCTAACGGGCTGGGCTTCAAGCAGATTTTCAAATACTTAGTCTTGCCTCCCCAAGCTCATCTGTCACATGTCCTTCATTCTTTTGCTCCTCTTTTCTGGGTTGAGAGCAAGGAGATGGGAGGAGAATTCAAATTATCCTCTTAACTTTGGGAATTGCCCACTCCTGTTCTTACAGGTTACTTATTTTACTCGTGTTTCTAATCTGCCATAAATTTGTCCTTTGGTACCAAAGAACCATTAGAAGCCTGAAAGCATCCCAACACCTAATGTGGCGTTGTGTCTTTGGTTGGTGGCGTTGTCCAGCTCTTTGATTTGAAGGATTTGAAGAGGAAAATGATAGGAAATACATTTTATTTTTGTCTTAGACACAAATTTTGGTGCTAAGCAGCTTAAAGGGAATCCAGCCCTACAGAATTCCTGGAACAAATGTAGCTTGGGGGTGGGGGGAAATGCTTTCTTTTAGGACAGGAAACTGCCAGGTATCCTTAGAGATTGGTGGTTTTGGAGGTGAAGGTGTACAGGAAGATACAAGGAGAAGGCAATGCATTCAGGAAAATAATTACTTGCAATAACATGCTTCTCTGTTGTATCTGATTATCAATAAGTTTAGTTGCTGCTCCCTGTGGTTAACACTTCTTTGCCTCTGCCATAATTAAGTTGCTTATTTTAACCCTCTCTTAACCTGCTTAAACTTTCAACATAAGCCAAGCTGATGTAGGTCATATCCACCCCCACCCCCACTCCCTGACATTCAACCCCAGGACTGCTGTGCACAAAGAAGGCTGAGCTTGTTTCTTGTCACAAGGATGATCATGGTCAGAGCAATGCTGAGATCGACTAGAACCATGGAGACGTTTCAGGCACCTAGAGCTCCAGTTCAGAAATGATGTCGCTATTGGTGGTTGTGTTGGGGGGTTCAAGAAAACCAGAATAAGTTTTGTTTGTCACGGTTGATTCAAACCATTTATAGAAGTTTAAAGAATAGTTCACAGCAAATATATAAACTCAACTAATAGGTCCTTTCCTTAAGAATGGATTGTTTATATGTTTTGTTATGGGCGTTTATGGGGAAGAGACAGCTTTGGTCATCTGGGAAATATCGTGTAGATATGTCAGTCCACATACCTATGGATCTCTCTTGCTGGGAATGAAAATGAGCTCCTGGCAACACATGTTTTACATCACAGTAAACAGCTGAAGCATATTTTTGGTAATTTAATATTAAATACTAAAGATTTAATGTATGTGATGCTGTTATTTCGGTTGTTGATTAAAAGTAAACCCTGGGCAAGTACTTTTCTTTAGCTTTCTCATGTGTAAAATGAGGACAGTAAGGCCTAATGCTACAGTCAATGTCCATTATACTAAGCACCTTTACACTGACTTTCTTTTTCAAAAAAGATTTCCAAGCCACTGATCATGTTTTCTGTTTTATGTGTGTGACCTTTAATACAACAACATTTCAGTTGGCCAAAGAAGTTGGGCAGTCTTCTGCTATTCATTGCAAGGAAGTTCGATTTCAAGTACTATTTATTTTCTTGGGAAAAATAGAGAAACTGGAAAAATCTATAGAATATAATAACTAATTTAAGCTAGTTTTTTGGACCTTCAGTTGCTTATATGTCAATATTATACCTCAGACAGAAAAGTAGTGACAGAGAAGGTAAATAACTTATATTTAAAAAAAAAATCTAGTGAGCCAGTGACTGAAGTAAAATTAATCCCTAATTTCTAACTTCTCAGTGTAGGTTGCCTTGAGTAATATTGCATGTTACCTTTGAAAAGCTCAGCTAAGAACCTTCAGTTGAGAGTTAAACTTGCAGGTGCAAAGCAAAGATGGAAGAAACATGGGCCCGGGCCGCCTGCTTTTGTTAGTGGAAGGACAAGACATTGGCTAAGTGAGGATTTGCTTTGCCCATCAGACCATATAGGACATGTGTTTAAAGTTTAACTTCTCACAGCGTGGTTTTGTATCCACAGCTGTGACTTAAATATTTGTCAGAATGATTTCTTTGGGTTGCTTAGTTTCTTATGTGTGGAGACAACTAGTAGGGGATCTTATCTGGCTTAAATGATTAAACCAAAATTCTCTCCCCACCCCCTCTCAAATTTATAGGAGCCAAAAAGGGGCAATAGGGAAGCAGGGTGTCCAAACAGGAATCGAAAGACCTGGATCCTTTGCCTGTCCTGTGGCTGGGACCTGACCAAGAACCTTTATTCCCTTTTATTATATATTTTGAGACCTGACAGGATTTTGACAGCGTTAAGTACCAAATTAACATATACTCTGAAATAACATTAGAACTGAATTTTCCTTGTGTCAGGTGGGATATACTATTTGATTGCAATGGTGTGATTGTAAGGTTCTCAGATCTTAAATAGGTTGAAAACAAACATAGCCATTAGGTTCACTTCTGGTTCTCTCCTGGTGTGGAGCCTGCTGAGAAGGGGCCGAGGCTGGGTGCCAAAGCAAACACATTCTCAAGCTGCTTAATTTTTCCTCTCCTCCATTACTTGCTCCACCTTCTTGGTGAGGTGAGCCCGAAGTCCAGATAAGAGCAGAAGTTCTAATTCTGGAGGTTTACCCTCTTGTAAGAATAAAAGGATCTACCCCTCCCCCTGCCCCAGGAGAGGGTGTCCATCCATCAGGACCTGTATTGTCGTTAGAAATAGGAAGAAGCTTTGTCCTTGTCCAGTTTGGTCAGTCTTTGTGTCTTCATCTGTGTAGACAAGACAGAAAGAGCTGCCCAGGCTATTAGATCACTTGCTCACTATGCTCCCAGATCCCTGCTGACCACGCTCCATTAGTGACTAAAGAGCCCAGTGCTTCAGAGCAGAGACTCTGGAGCCAGCCTGTCTGGGTTTGAATCCCAGCTTGACCACTTAGTAGCTGTGTGACTTTGGACAAATTACTTAATCTCTCTGTGCTCCAGCTCCTGGATCTGTAAAATGAGTGTACGCAGTTTACTGTATAGGATTGATATGACAATTTATATCTATGAATATGTGCAAAATCTTAAAACAGTGCCTTTTCCATAATATGTTGTATTTAACAGTTAACTAGAAAACAAGTCAACTGATCCTGACCACTGTAGAATTTTCAGAGGCCCTTATCTCCTAAATGTTTAATAGGGGATATGGTACTGTATTATTTACCTCCTCTAATCTATTATTTGAGAGTGAAAGAAGAGTATAGTTAAAGAGGATTTTTCATCTGCTTAGCTGAGACTTCATGCCGTTGAAAATTCATCCTGTTCTCTAGAGAGCAAACATAGTGAGCAGGTAACTTTCAGAGTGTCTCGAGGTTCAACTCATAGTTGAAGGCACAGGGGTTGGCCAGTTACTTTGGGTGATGAAGGTTGTCAGTGTTACCTCAGAGTAGGAAGGTCACCAAGTCTAGGGCCAAAGGGGGAACATTTAGAGGGTTGCTGGAAAGGTTGAGTTTTTCAATTATGCGGGGTTGAGAAATGCATCACGTTCAGTTATTAATAAAGTATCTCACATTTTATTTATTTATTTGGTTGGCAGAGCTTGCATTCCTGGCATTTTTGGTTGGTTTGTGTTGCTATTTTTTTGTCTGTGTAATTTTTTTTTCATCTTAAAGAGACCAGACCACCCTGTAGGAGCATCGCCTCCCTCTAGGACACAAAACCAGCTCGACTTCCCAGAGCTTCGCTTGCTCTGGGCTCTATCAAAATCTCTGCAAAACCAGGAGGTAGTTACTGTAGGTCAGGATTTTTCAGGAGAGTCTCCCTATGTCACAAAGAACAGTGGATAACTCTCTCTACAATGGCTACAGTGACAGTGTAACTACAGACATCTCTTGGTTTGAGTAATGAATAACCCATAGTTATGGTGGCATTCCATGTGTTTGCGTTGAAGGTAGATTCTTGCTATGTGAAAGTGACTGGCATATTTCTGAAACACGATTTGAGCCTGCATTGTGTGCCAGTCATGGTCACATAAAAGAGCACTTTTATGCTTCACACTTACTCTGGGATGGGGGCGAAGTATTATTTTCTCAATTTTTCAGATGAAGAAAGGTTCAGAGATTCAGAGAGATGCATGCTTTGTCTAAGGCTGCACTCCAGAAAGTGATAAACTGATGAGATGTTGCATGCGTTCTCAGATACTGGAAGTTAAACATAGGTGTATAAGAAGACAGTGCTGGTCGGAGCTTTGGGGTTCAGGAGGTATAGCAGCTTCTTGCCATCCAAAGGGCCTGTCCCATGGGCAGTCCCCGGGCTGGCCGTCCATATGTGTTACTTTAGGAAGATGTTTAAAGCTTCCAGCAATGTTTATCTTAGATCACAAAGCAGAGAACCAGGGTTATTGGTTTGCCATTGTCTTCCATATGTTCTTCTTTGACTCCCTCATAGGTGGAAGACGATTATGTTCACTTCCAAAGTCAGTCCTTCCCTCTGGTTTTTACCCATTTTACCTCCTTAATCACGGATACTTCTCTGTATTGAATCGCTCACAATCTGGATGATGAGAGATATAGATTGGCAAACTAGTTTCTTTTCTTTTCCTTTTTAAAATTTTTAGTTTTGTATAGATAGGGG